CAGCTGACCGCTCGGGATGCCTTCTGTGTGTCTGTGGACGGGGAGCTCTCCTGGGGCCACGCCAGGCCCCTGCTCTGCCCATGGCTCCTCTCCTCTGGGTGGTGCGTGGCCTTGTTTTCAAAGGAGCATCTCTTCCTCCTCACTGTGTAGAGTCCCTTCCACACGGCTGTCCCAGCTGACACACAGCCTGGCACATTGTTGCGTAAGTTAGAGAATAGTTACGGACAGGTGGGTCTTTCGTGACTTGGCCCTGTGGCCTCTGAGTGCTTGGTTGCAGCAGCAGTGACTGACGTAGAAGGAAGCGCTTAGCACTGTCTGTGCCCGTCCAGACAAGCTGGCGAATCTTCAAGGACCAACTTCAGCCTTGTGATTTCCTCTCTGCCTTATTGATCTGCCACCCATTAGAGAGGCAGAAGTTGAGGCTGGAGCTTCTACCAGTGAGCGCGGCAGATCAGAATCATTACAGACAGAGAGGCACTTGGTGCAGCGCCTGCCTGTGGAGGTCTCGGGGTGGGGCGGGGGGATCTTGTCTGTACCCCATTCCCTGATTCCAGCTCGCCCTCCGCCAGCCCACTCTGCCTTGTCCCTCCCCCGCTCCCAGCTGACTGCAAGTGCCTCCATCCTGCAGGGCGGCAGGGACTTTGGGGTAGAGGTGTCAGCTCCCACCTTCAGACCCCAGTAGGACTCATACGGCCCTTCTGCCTGGCCATGGTGCCAGGAGCAGAGAGACAGGTGAAGCGGAAGGTGGCTGCACCCAGGCAGAGGGGGGGACCATCGTGTGAGCAAGCCTCTTCTCTGAGCTTTCATTTCCTCACCAGTGAAGTGGGGATAACGACACAGGCCTCACTGGGTGTCCAGGGATCAAATGAGATGCAGCCGTGCTCTGTGAGTTGCATCAGTTGTCCTCAGAGGGACGTGGGAAGCTGTCCCCTGCACCAGCGAGCTGCAGCCTACCCTCTGGACTGTGCCAGTGGCTGCAGCTCACCCCCTCCCACACCCGTCACATGGCCTGTGCCGCCCTCTACCCTCCTGCATGGTGAGCCCACTGCGGACAGGCAGGGCAGCATGGGGCGCAGCACAAGCTGGCAAGTTGCCAAACGAGATGCTTTGGTTCAGTAGGTGGCTTTTGCATTCCTACTGGAGATCTAGCAGGGAACAAGGCATGCATGGCCCCTTTCTCAGGAGCTTCCAGGTGACAAAGCCAGGCAGAAAGCAGCCGATTACGACATCTTGTACAGGGAAACCAATGCCATCTGTCTGGCAGAGCTGTTATGAGGATCAAGAGAAATAATGACTCACGTAGCCATTCAGACCCTGCCAATAGCTCGTGCAGAACAACCTTTCTGCAGTGAAGGTTCCGGATTCCAGGTAGAATGTCAAAACAACTGCCTGGAGCACTGGACAGCAGCAAGGAAATGGGGGTCTGGAGGGAGGCAGACAGCTGGAAGGAGGGGCAGGCATGGCAGGTTTCTCGCTTTCCACAGCCTTCAACCTGCAGGCTGGCCTTAGTTGATGCCACGCAGGGTGGCTGAAGCTTGGACAGATTCCTGCACTCTTACTGTCTCAAAGAACCTCAGGGAAGAATTAGAATCAAACCCCGTGTATAAACTCTGCTATCTCTGGCCAATCCCCGAAATATGCATTTATCGGACAGATTTCCAGCAGCTCAACAAAAGCTAAAAGAGAGTTGAACAGAGATTTCTGTCTCTGCCACTGCAGGAAGACAGAGTTTTTTTTAATTCAAGTCCAGCCAGGTTAACTATCTGTTAAATAAAAATATCAACACACGTCAAGGGGCTGTGAAGGAAAGGAGAAACCCTGTAACACATCACTCACTACGGGTAGGATACAAGTCAGTATTACTAGACGATTTTTACAAAGGAAAGAAAAGGTGACCCTTGCTCCAGAGAAAAAAGGAAGCAATGGAGAATGACCCCCCAAGGCGATGGCTCATGTTGGAATCATCAGACAGACATACACAGCCAGGCTCAAGGACGTAAAGGGAAACACGCTCATAATGAAAAGTAGGAAACGCCAGCAGAGAAATAGAAGCTACAGAAAGAGAACCACATGGAAATTTAGATCTGAAAAATACAATATCTGAGATAAAAAATTAACCAGGTGGGATTCAGAACAGATTGGAGATGACAGAAGACAGAGTCAGTGGACTTAAAGATTAATCAGTAGAAATTATCTAATCCGAAGACCAGAGAGAACAAAGAAACAGAGGGACAGTATCAGAAGGTCCCCGTGTGTGTGACTGGATCCCAGGAGAGAGGAAATAGAGAATGGGCATAACCGTCTCTGAAGTCAGACATAACTGAATTTTTCCTAAATGTGGCGAAAGCCATAAATCTACAGATTCATGAAGCCCAGGGAACCCCAAGCAGGGTAAATGTAAAGAAACCCTTACTTAGGCTCGTCACAGTCAAACTGCTGAAAACCAACAATGCGGAGACCATCTTGAAAGTGGCCAGAGAGACAAAGATATGTTTCCTACAAGGGAGCAGTCACGTGAATGACTTCAGCGGCCTTTTCAGAAACAGTAGCGTCCGGAAGATAGTGGGCCTACATCTTCAAAGTCCTGGGGTGGGGAGAATTAATCTGGAATTCTGGATCCAGCAAAAATATTCTTTAAGAATAAAAGAGTAATAAAGAGGTTTCGGAAAAAAAACCTAAGAGCATTTCCCTTCAGCAGATCAGCTCTGTAAGAAATGCTAAAGAAACTAAAGAAAATTCTTCTCCTTAAGGGAATTGATATCAGATGAAAAATCAGATTTTTCAAAATGGCAGGAGAAATTCTGAAAATAGTAAAGTGGTTTGGGTCAGGTCGACAAGCATTTGCGCTCTCTGTGGGTCCCAGGTCCCATGAGGCACCAGACTGGGGTGGGGCCCTCCAGGGAGGCACAGTCCCTCGGGAGCACAGGCGGCCTCATACAGGGTGGGAAATGCAGGAGCTGGGGTGCCCAGGGCAGGCAGGCACCGTGGGCAGGGGAGCAGGAGGGGCGTGGGCGCCTCCTGGGTGGATGACAGCCCCGCCCAAGGAGTTTGAGCAGTGGCAGGAGGGGGTGCCCCAGGCAAGGAGGTTAGAATAGGTGAGGTGCTACAGGAGACCCTCCCCTGTGGGGGCCAGGACCCAAGGACAGCCTCCAGCAGGGAGGCGTGCTGCACACATGTGCTGCAGCCCCGCAAGGAGCCACCGATCCCCAGGCTTGCTGGCACTTACTGGTAAAGTTGTGACACATATGAAAAACCAACAAGACTGGGAGTCTGTGTGTGCTAGAGAAATAATGCTTTCCCGTCTTTCCGAGATTTCCACTGTTGGACGTGCTAAATAGTTTTGATAAAGAGCCGTTTCTGAGAAATAGCTATATATTAATATGTATTAATAACATATATCATATATTATTAAATGTGGGCAGGTCGCTGCGGCCCACGGCAGCCGTTGCTTTCCTCTTTGCACAACCTGTGGCGAAAGGCGAGGACCCTGCGCCTGCCGTGCAAGTCCCAGCCCGTGCAGAGGAACACACTCAGCAAACTGCTCGTTTCCTGAAACATCAGTACTTCTGCTGACTTCAAATAGGAGTAAAACTCAACCTTCCTGAAGCTCTGCGTGGTGTAAAGGTCAAAGCAAACACCTTGCATTCCCAGCTGATGCATAAATATTTTAATGGGCACATTAGCACTGATTTTGAAAGGCGCTTCCCTCCTCCTTTGAAAACGATTTCCTCCTCCCACACAAGTTTGTTTTTCTTACTAGTTCAACACAACATTCCACTTCTCAGCGCCTTTGGCAGCATAGAACACTGGCCAGATGAATTGCTGGCGCGCCAAAGCACCTTTATTCTTTAAGTCAGTGTTTTATTGAAGTACGACATGGACAGGTGCACAGAGCCTGTCTCCCACTGGATAAGTGTCAGCAAGTGACGATGTGAGGCAACCATCCAGATCGAGGGCACACGTCCCTCCAGTCACTGCCCCTCCCGAGGGCCACCAGCCCGCGACTGCAACAGCAGAGGTTCCTTAATGTGCCCATGGACGTCACATAGTGGGCATCACTCAGCATGTGCTTGCCTGTGTCTGGCCGCCTCCCTTCACATTGGGAGCGACATTCAGCCACGCTGTTGCCGTGGCTGCAGCTTGTGCAGTCTGGTTGCAGTGTGGTACTCCAGCGTGTGGCTGGCTGTCATTGTTAGTCATCGTTTATTCGTCCAGCTGCTGGTGGGCATCCGGGGTTGTGTGATAGGGAGGCAGTGTGTAGATGGGGGGCAGCAACATAGAGTTTGAAATGAGGCATCGCTGGGTTAAATCCTGTGCTACCACTTTCTAGCTGTGTGGCCTAGGGCAGGTTACCTAACCTCTCTGAGCTTCAGGTTCCCCATCTGTAAAACAGGCACAGTCACCCCTGCCTCCCTGGGCAGTTAGGAAGGTTCAGTGTGAGAGTGACTGGTGAGCGAAGCTGCGACACCTTGGCTGCAGCTAGACACACCCTTGTGCCACCCCCAGCCCTGCTTAGTGGCCACTCAGAGCAGCCACTGCTGGGGTAATAGAGCCCCGTGTTGGCTGTGTGGACCTTCTGTGGGACCCGCTGTGGCACGTTTCCAGCCAGTGAGATCCAGAAGTTGTGGAATCTTGGTAGCTCTCTGAAGCTGCTGTTTCTGTCCCCTCTCTTGGTGTCTACCATCTGTGTCAAGGGATGGTGGCCCCAGGCCTGCTGCCCGAGAGGGGGTCTTCAGCCGCGCCCTGAGGCCCTTGCCAGCACCAGTATGGAGGAGTCTCAGCCTCCTGTGTGCAGCCCTGGGCCAGGTGCCCTCCAGGCGTGCGCGTGTCCTGGCCACCTGATGCCTACCAGTTAGGGTCTGGCTGATTTCAGATCACTCGGAGTTGCAGGAAACAGAAAGTCTGCCCTGAGATCACACAGAAGTACCCATTGTCTGGTGCTTCTGGAGCCCGGCCGGCGTGTGGCACTTGCGTGTGTGACGGTCCTTGTGTCCTTGCAGGCCTTCCGGAGCAGTACTACAGCCTCACCTGGTTCCTGAGCCCCGTCCTTGGCCTCATCTGCACGCCTCTCATTGGGTCTGCAAGTGACCGGTGCACTCTGAGCTGGGGCCGCCGGCGACCTTTCATCCTCGCCCTGTGTGTGGGTGTTCTCTTCGGTGTTGCACTTTTCCTTAACGGCTCTGCCATCGGTAAGTGTGTCTCTGCCACGCTGTGGATCCAAACATGCGAACGGCAGGTCCTGACCCGGGTGCCTCTTCACTCACTCAGACGTGTGTTGGTCAGTCGCTGGGGCTGGGGCCTCCGGGGGCCGCTTGGCGGTGACCACCCCGCAGGCCCTCTTGGCAGCGCTGGAGCTGGCCCCACGTGGGAACGCCGGGGGGACCTGTTCACAGGGAAACGCTTCCTGTTGTGATCATTTGTTTTTAATGCGTATCTGACACCACGTCCTGTTTCCAGCATTATTTCAGAAATTATCTTTTCTTTTTTTGTTCTCCTTTTCTTAGACTTGGTATTGAAAATGTCCAGAACCTAGTTTGATATTTTTTTGTTTCATGTGCTCATGTTTTGCTTTGCCCTTTTTTGTTGTTTTGTTCTTAGTGAAAGCAACTGTATGTGGGAAAATATTTTTTGCCCTGAGGGCATCCATCAAAATTGTTAAAAACAAAACGTTATTTTCTGGCAGCAACTTTTCGAGAGGCAGGAACTTGCTCTGTTCTGAAATAGAGGAACTGGCCCCAGGTCTGCGTCCATTCAGATGGAAGTCGGGTTGTTGGAGCGTTCAGGAAGGGAAGCCCCAGAAACCCTTCTCTGCATGGCGAGCATTGTTCACTTCTCAGAGGCCTGGGTGGGGGCGGTTGGAGCTGTGGGCAGGCTTTGTCCCCTGCCCATCCCTGCCCAAGGTCACCTTCCTGAGTGACACCCCTTGTGTGGCCTTGTGCGGGGAGGTCTCTTCCAGCCAGCTGGTGCCTCTGATTCAGAATTCTGGGGTGCTGCTTCCCCGGCACCTGCCAGGCACGGTCCGGCTGGCTCTCTCAGCCGTCTGCGTCAGCTGAGAGCACCGCACTGCCTCCCCCCCACTCTTACTGAGGTGCAGAGAGAATGATGGGGCTTTCTCAAGGCTGTATCCTTGGGGTGGCCCTGCCCAGTGTGACCCCAGTGCCGAGAGGGGAGTTCCAACCCCGACATGGGCACTGTCTCGTGCCCGTGGTCTGAGACGGCCAGCAGGGCGCTCCTGGGCAGAAAGCCCCTTTCCTGCGCTCCTGCAGGATGGTGTGTCTGTGTGAAGACTCTTCACAGCACTTTGGGGGGGGCCTGGGTCCCAGCCCGCAGCCCCCACTGCTCTGACCTTTGTCACGAGGGCACCACTTGCCTCACTGGCGGTAGATGGAGACCTAGGTTTCAGTTCGCCCATCAGGATTCGTAATGTGACCTCTGAGTTCACACCTGGGGCAGACTCACCTGCGGCAGGTGATATGTGGTGTGTGAGGACAGCTGCTTTCAGGTGCTCATGCCCCATTCCAAGAGGACCCACAGGTGAGGCGAGGCCACTTGCGTCTTGCTCTTCAGAGCCACGTCTCCTGGAGCCCAGCTGCTCAGAGGACTGGCTGGAAAAACTCCTGGGATTCTGGGCGTCATTTCCTTTCAGATCTAGACTTCTCCAGGGTACCACGCAGTGGGCCCAGGGGTGGCCGGACATCTTGGGTGAGCCTGACCTTGGAGTGTCGCCAGCGTTGCCCTCCCAAGGTTAATTCCCTCAAGTAGCGTGCATGGCTGCGCTCCCACGTGCGGACGCCAAGTTAGTGCTCCCAACACAGCCGTCATCCTCTTTGTGGTAGTGGGGCTAGAAAGGACCATTCGCCCCTTTTCTGTTTTAAAAACGTAAAGGCTGATGAGCTTTTGGACGTCCCGTGAACTGCTAGCGTGAACAGGGAGAACAAATAACCCTGCAAACCACAGGAATAGGAAAAGCAGAACCCACTTTCTTGACCCAGAGTCCAAGGCAAAGGATCTTGTTGTCTTCCTGGTGTGGACGGGGCTGGCGTGGTTTCCTGGGCCGTCTCCCTTCAGGTGACAGTTTGCTTTCAGGAGCCTGAGCCGGCCGGCGTGCAGGTCTGACGGCCTCCCCTGTGCTCCCTGCAGGTTTGGCCCTCGGCGATGTCCCCGGCCGGCAGCCCATCGGCATTGTCCTCACAGTGCTGGGGGTGGTGGTCCTGGATTTCAGCGCCGATGCGACCGAGGGGCCCATCCGTGCCTATCTGCTGGACGTGGTGGACAGCGAGGAGCAGGACATGGCCCTCAACATCCACGCCTTCTCTGCCGGTAAAGCACGGCCTGGGCAGGGTGGCTGGGGACGACCGCCGGTCCTCCCTCCTGAGGCCAGCACTGCGCATCATGTGCACTCCGTCCCTCCGTGCGCGGCTCCCGTGCAAACTGGCAGGCGTGGCAGGGCTGGGGTCTTAGGGCTGGAAGGTAACCAGGGGTGTCCCCTCCTTGCCACTGAGCAAGACCAGAGGACTGAGGATCTGCGAGGGGGGAGTGGGCCCAGGCGTGCCTGGGTGGCGTGCTCGCCAGGTGGATGGGCCCTTCAGCCTGCAGTTTCCACGTCCAGTGGGTGAAGCTTAGGAGTGGCATTCAGTACAGAGAGGCATGTATTGGGGGTGCCTTGTGTCCCATCCTGGTGTTAGTCTGCCCTTAATTTATTAAGCAGAAAGTCTGTCAGGCGAGAATCATCCAGCCTGGGGGAAGGTGGAGGTTCTTGTTTTGTTTTCCTACCGTTTCCCTTCTCCTCCCCGAAACTTGTGTCCTGACTGAGTGCGGCCCTGCCCCCGTAGGAGGGCGAAGCCCTTCCAGAGCTGCCCCGCCTGCTCACTGGTGCTTCTCCCTCCCGCAGGCCTGGGCGGGGCCGTGGGCTACGTGCTGGGCGGGCTGGACTGGACGCAGACCTTCCTGGGCGACTGGTTCAGGACGCAGAACCAGGTGCTCTTCTTCTTTGCCGCCATCGTGTTCACGGTGTCTGTGGCCCTGCACCTCTTCAGCATCGAGGAGGAGCAGTACAACCCACAGCAGGAGCGCAGCGCCGAGGAGGATGCCCTGCCCGCCAAGCTGGGCTGCGCCCACCCCGCCACCACCCGCCTCGGCGCCCTGGACGGGGGCGAGCAGTACGGCGCCGTGCCCACGTTCCCCGATGAGGTGCAGTCGGAGCACGAGCTGCCCCTGGACTATCTCGACGTGGACATCGTGCGGAGCAAGAGCGACTCTGTGCTGCACATGCCGGACGCCACACTGGACATGGAGCCCGAGCTGCTCTTCCTGCACGACATCGAGCCCTCCATCTTCCACGACGCCTCCTACCCCGCCACTCCATGCAGCACCAGCCAGGAGCTGGCCAAGGCCAAGCTGCCCCGCCTGGCCACATTCCTCAGGGAAGCTGCCAAGGAGGATGAGACCTTGCTTGATAATCACTTGAACGAAGCTAAAGTCCCAAACGGAAGTGGCTCCCCCCCAAAAGATGTCCTCAGCGGCTACAGCAGAGTGGACATGAAGGCCTCAGCCACGTCTGGCTCCATGAGGCGGCGGAGGCACATGTTCCGCCGGCAAGCCTCCAGCACCTTCTCCTACTACGGCAAAATCGCGTCCCATTGCTACCGCTACCGGCGGGCCAACGCCGTGGTCCTGATCAAGCCGTCCCGCAGCATGAGCGACCTGTACGACATGCAGAAGCGGCAGCGGCAGCGGTGCCGGCACAGGAACCAGAGCGGGGCCACCAACTCCAGCGGGGACACGGAGAGCGAGGAGGGGGAGAGCGAGACCACCGTGCGCCTGCTGTGGCTGTCCATGCTGAAGATGCCCAGGGAGCTGCTGCGGCTGTGCATCTGCCACCTGCTCACCTGGTTCTCCGTCATCGCCGAAGCCGTGTTCTACACCGACTTCATGGGCCAGGTCATCTTTGAAGGGGACCCCAAGGTGAGTGCCCAGCACCTGAGCAGGGTTCCCACTTCTGTAAGCTGGGTGGGGTGGCCCTCCCTCCCCCAGCCTGGGCAGTGGTGACAGCGTGGTGCACTGAGAGCGCTGGGGACTCTTCCACCACCACGCGCTGCCCGGGTGTGCGGGTGGGAGACATGCTGCAGGCAGCGGTTAGGGCGCACCTCCGTTGATGCGGGCAGGGGCTGTCGTGTGAGCTGCAGACAGGGGTGTGCGGTGGGGTCCGTGGTGAGCAGCTATGAGTGCCAAGTGCTAAACTCAAGTCTGAACAGGGTGTCACTGGGTAAGATAATGACCAGACTCAGCAGCTGGCTCTTCTGCTCCCGTGGTATCAGCCAGGCTCACACCTATGGCTGCGTTTGCCACGAGGGCTGAGGTGGCCTCAGGCCTCCTGTCCCCACGCAGCCCCTCCCCTTTCGCATCTCATCTGAGCTGCTGCCTGTGGCGGCTCGGAGGGGGCCAAGGTAGGGGTTGCAGGAGAGTCGCTTGTACAAGTGCAGACCAGCCCAGATTTGAGGGTTGGGGGCACAGACCTCACCTCTTGTTGAGGAGGTTGGCAGAGTCACCTCCCAGACATCTGTGGACTACAGGATATTAAAAACGATTTTCCAGATCTGACCTAGGCGTGGGGTTGACTCTGCTCCTGGAGCGTTTATCACTTCTCTTAAAGTAAATCACTTGTCTGTAACTGAAATGTAAAACACCCTCCTAAACCCTGTTCTCCTTCCGGAACAGGCCCCCTCCAACTCCACAGCCTGGCATGCCTACAATGCTGGGGTCAAGATGGGCTGCTGGGGCCTGGTCATTTACGCTGCTACCGGTGCTATTTGCTCAGGTAAGAGTCCTCCAGTCAGGTAAAGTGTCACGCCCTGGAGATCACTTAGCGACTGGAAACACGAGGGAACCCTGTGCCTTGGAAGGTGGAGGTGTCAGTCAGACCCTGGCCTCTGCCTGAATGGGGCCGCCCCTTGGGGAGAAGCCCTGGTTCTCGTGTCTCCTCATCTTAGCAGAAAGGTTGCTGCAGGCTGACCCCAGGAGTAGGGAGTCTGAGACCCCCTGGAGGCTGCCCTGCTTGTGCCATCCGGTGACGCTGCCCAACACTCGTGGTGCCTCTGTTTGGACATGCTGTCCTGGCCCTGCCCAGGCCATCCACAAAGATGGATGAAGAACTGACCCTTCCCGGAGCTCAGCCGGCAATCGGAGTGGTGGGAGGAGCAGGTCCCATCTGCCATGGGTAGGAGGCCCCTGCCCACAGGCGCAGCTGTGTCCTGAAGGGTGCGGCCAGGGTGCCAGGCTTCAGTCCCGGGAGCAGCACACCCAGGCTCACCGTCTAGAACTGGGCGTAACCATGGTCACAGGTTGCGTGTGGGCCGGGCTCGCCTGCCTGCCCTCTGAGCCGTGGAGGAGAAAGCCAGCTTCATTTTAGCCAGGCTAGATCTGAGGATGACCAGGGTCAGCGCCCTCGGGCAGCCAGCATGCCAATAAACAATGTTGTCACCGCTTTAACAGAAGAATTTTGGGAGAGAAATTCTCGGCAGAGCACCCTCCCAGAGGAGGTGGCATCTGAGCTACCAGGGCAGGAAGGGTGAGGGGAGACCAGAGAGGGACCCGTGAGAGTAACCAGTGACAGCACGTGTTCCTGAGGCAGGACTGCCTGGTGCCACCCGCTTCAGATGAGGTCATCCTGGCCTAGGGCCAGAGAAGGCTGCCGAGTGGGCGTGGATCAGCGTCCTGGCAGGTCAGGGAGGCCCCTGGATGCTGCAGGAAGGGCCGGGTTATGGGGTCTGGGACCAGGAAGGGCCGTGAGCTGCAAGTGTGTTCTGGGAACACGTGCAGCTGTGCCCTCCAGGACTGTGTGGTGGCAGGCAGAGCCAAGAGGAGGTGACACTTGTCTGTGCCTGAGTGGGCCCAGGTTCAGCCCGAGGAGGTAGGGGCTTGGGAGAAGGGAGGGAGTGGAAGGGGTCGTAGAGGGAGCCTGACAAGAATGAGCAGCTTGGTTACTGTCCCCTCCCTGTGGCCCTCTCTGCAGCCCTGCTACAGAAGTACCTGGACAACTACGACCTGAGTGTCAGGGTGATCTACGTGCTGGGGACGCTGGGCTTCTCCGTCGGCACGGCTGTGATGGCCATGTTCCCCAATGTCTACATCGCCATGGTCACCATCAGCACCATGGGCGTGGTCTCCATGAGCATCTCCTACTGCCCTTACGCCCTGCTGGGGCACTACCATGAGATCAAGGAGGTGCGTCTGCCGGGGGGCCGGGGTGGGCGGGCGACACAGCTCAGCACTTCATGGGTGGACATTCAAGACACATGTTGTCCCCCTCAGTCCTCACTTCTGAAACGGCCCCTGATGAATCCAACAGAGCTGCCACCTGCCCCCGGTCTGTCCCTGGCCACAAAATGTCTTCTCCTTCAGCCCCTGGGCCCGCCTACCACCTGCTTAGAGGTTTCCAGAGGCAGGCGCACTTCACTGGGTCTCGACTGGGGAGCTGGAGGCTGCCCCTGCCAGTCCAGTCCCCTCGATGCAGTTGTGGTCACATCCCCCGTGGGGGAGGGAGGCTGTAGACCAGCTCCGTCCAGTCGATGGGGTGAGCGCCACCCAGTGTGTTCACACCTCCTGGTAGCCACGTTTGAAAGGGAGAGAGGCTGGTGAAATCAATTTTAGTAGCATCTTTTATTTAACCCAATATATCTGAAACATTACTATTCCAACATGTACTCGATATAAAAAAGAATTGAGATGTTTCACATTCCCGCCAAGTCTTTGGTGTTCAGTGTTTGTTTTGCACGTGCAGCTCAGCTCAGATGAGTCTCGTCTCAAATTCTCAGTAGCCAGGTGCTGGGGCAGACCGCAGCTCTCACCCTGACCACTCTGAACTTTCAAAGAGAAAGGGAACAAAACCAAAAGGCCCTGTCTCTCTCTTCCCAGACCTAGTCTATGTTTATTCTTCCAATCTCTTTACATGAGTATTAAAGCAAATTTACTAAATAGGTGCATACCAGATAGAGCAGTAACATCTGAATAGCAGCATTGGTTTTCAAATAAACTTTTTAATTGAAGTCTAACGTAACTATCAAATTGGAAGGAAGAATACACTTATAAAACCAACCCTGACCAGAAAGAACAGTGTCAGGGCCCAGAAGCCCCCACACGCCCCCTCCCGCCTCCCTCCTACACCGTCTGCAACTCTTGCCTGTTTCTGAACTCCGGCTGCAGTGTGGCTCCATTCCCTGTGGCCCACTTGTGTGCTTGCTGGTGGCAGGACTTCATGCATTTTCACACCCGCTGCACGGCACGGTGTATAGGTCCATGCTGTTTTGATGGGCAGTGTGGGGCCAAGGAGGGGCCATTACAGCCGACACTGCCTTGAGCATTCACCAGCCCCGTGCCGTCTGTCACGCCTGCTTGCAGAGTCTTCACTGACGGTCTACGTGGAATAGATTGTGTGTGGTTTGAGGCAGAGCATCAGGACTCTTATTTTTTTCCCCACATGTGGACGTCCACATGTCCAGCACCACTCCCTGCAAAGATCGTCTGCTCTCACCCCACCCCCACCCCACTCTGCAGTGTCATCTTCATCATACAGCAGGTGTCTATGTTCCCGTGTTTCTGCTCTCTGTTCGCTTCCATGTCTGCTCTTGGACAAATGTTACACTGTCTTAATTAAAGTAGTTTTATAAAAGGTCTTGAAACTTGGTAGTGTAAGTCTGTTAGCTTTGTTCTTCAAGATTGTCTTGGATCTTCTCAACCATTTATTTTTCATCTAAACGTTAGACTCACCTTCTAGCCTTTTTAATCAAGATCAATTGGAGACAGTTAATAACTTTGTAGTACCAAGCCTTTCTACCCATGAATATGATATATCCTTCTGTTGTTAATTCTCATAGGTCATCTGTAGATTCTTAGGGAACCTTCTGCATATACAACCACATCATCTGTGTAAGGGAGTTTTATTTCTTCTCTTCTAATCCTTAATACATTTTATTTATTTTCTTTGCCTTCTTGCAATGGCTAGAACCTCCAATCTGATATTGAATAGAAGCAGTGACAGTGTGTTTGCTCTTTCTAACTCGGAAGGGAAGTACTTGATATCTTACTGTGAAGTCTGATACTTAACTTATATTTTTCTGGGAATTTGGGCATTTTTTTTCTGACCTTTCAGATGTATTGGCATTAAATTGTTCACAGTATTCTCTTATGATCTAATATAATAAAACCTAAGGGCAGAAATCATATGGAATATGTTCCCTGACCACTGGGTGATATCATCTTTCTCATTCCTGATATTAGTTATCTGAGAGTTTATCAGTTTTGTTTTCAAAGAACTTTTGGTATTCTCAAGCCTCTCTGGTGTATGTTTGCTTCACATTGTATTAATTACTGCTCTTTACTGTCTCCTACCTTCTATTATCTCGTGGTTTCATTTGCTGTTTCTCATTTCTTACTTTTTCAGCCTAATGTTTGCATTTGAGGCTAGTAATTTCCCTCTGTGCACACCTTTAGCTGTGCTCTACAAATTTTAATATATTGTGTTTTCAATCACTTCAAAGATTTTTTGAATTTTTTGTTGTGGTTTCTTTTTTGAACCATGAATTGTTTAGAAGTATGTTGATGAATTTCTAACATTTGGGGATTTTTCCATTGTCCTCAGTGGTCAGGGAACATATTCCATATGATTTCTGCCCTTAAAATTAACTGAGACTTCCTTCATGGCCCAGTATATCATGTGTTGATAAATGTTCCGTATGCACTTGAAAAGAATGTGTGTTCTGCACTTTGTGCTATGTCTGTGTAAATTAGGTCAAGTTTATTGATTGCTTAAATCCTCTATTCTTTTACTGCTTTTTGTCTACTTACTTTATGAAAGGTATATTAAAATCACCCACTGTGACTGTTGTACAATAAATGTAGGTGTGCACATTTAGAATTGCTTTGTTTTTTATCTTCTTGTTGAATTGACCTTTTTTTTCATAATCTCCAGGATAAAGTCATGTCCTTTGACAATGTTGTCTGATAAATCCTGTGTCTTTTTTTTTTCTTTTTTCTAAATCCACTTTCATGGCAAAATCCTGTGTCTTATAACAGTAGTATACACCAGTTTTCATTTGTATCTTCGTTCTATAAACACAAAGCTGCTCACTATTGCCATGGATGCAGCTGCTCTGTTGCATGTGGTCACCTGCAGTGATGCTGTTGGAAGCATCAGCATGGGCTAGAGCACCCCTGCCCTCCAGCCCCAGCCAGAGACCACGAGGGCAAGGGGATCGCCCTGTCTCAACCTACCACCACTCCTTGGGCTGGAGGCCAGGCTCCTGGGAGCACATGTCCTGACTGGGTCGATGAAGTTGCTTTCACTCCTATCCTCTCCTGTGATCTAGAACTTTGCCTTTGTTGCCTGCATGCTGCTGGGCAGGAGTTGGGGGCTGGGGGAGACTTAGGCAGGAGTGGTTGCCAAGAAGCTCAGCAGAAGATTTAAGTCTTGTTTCCAGACTTCTAGGTTAATACTCACACCACTGAAATGTTGGATGACGATTAACGTCTCCACGGCTGCTCATGCCCTGTGTTCTCTTCTCCCGCAGTATGTGCACCACAGCCCTGGGAACTCCAAGCGAGGCTTCGGCATCGACTGCGCCATCCTCTCCTGCCAGGTCTACATCTCCCAGATCCTGGTGGCGTCGGCCCTCGGGGGTGTGGTTGACGCCGTGGGGACTGTCCGTGTCATCCCCATGGTGGCCTCTGTGGGCTCTTTCCTGGGCTTCCTGACCGCCACGTTCCTGGTGATCTATCCTGAGGTGTCGGAGGAGGCCAAGGAAGAGCAGAAAGTGCTGTCCTCCCAGCCAGCCGGCGAAGGCGGGGCTGGCGGGGGCAGCGAGAAGCCCACCATCCTGAAGCTCACGCGGAAGGAAGGCCCGCAAGGACTGGTGGAGACGGAGTCCGTGGTCTGAGCCACACTCCCATTTACACACATCCGTCCAGGCTGGCGGGCGGGGTGGGGGTCCGGCCGCAGGTGGGAGCAGAGGCCCTGCAGGGCAGTCCACTTCCCTGTTGCAGACGCGGCGGCACAAACCAGAGTTTCTTCCCACAGCATAGTCAAAATTTAGTAGGCATAGGGTAGGTTTGAGCTACTAGGCAAAAATACCCACTAATTACTTTTTCAACAATTAAAAAATCATTTGAAATATTTTTTTAATTGAAAAAGCTCTTTAATTTCAACTCTGTCTTTTATTCTGCAGGTATATTATTCTGCATGTTTTTAACGTATAAAACATTTACAATATAGACAATAAGCAATTTAGAAAAAATAAGATTTTGCATTTCTAAAATTATAATTGAAAACAAAAGCTGACGTCCTCTGCTATATCTTTTCTGAATACTTCAGATAATAGTAGTGTAGTCAGCGACTAAAGTGTTTTTATCAATTTTCCTCTGTCGATGCCTTTTAGGTATTTGGACGTCTGTCAGATCTCATCACATTTGTTGGTGCTGCAGCTATTGGAGAGTATTTTTCTTTATGATTATTTTAGAAAAAAAAATTTTTTTTTCCACAATTGTGGTTTTCTTAGAAAAACAGCATCTCTTTTCCTCAGAGAGTTTGACAAATTGTGCCCAGGGTAACCCTGTTCTTGGGCAGCAGCCAGTGGTTGTGGCCACACACCAAAGCTGGGAGGAGGCAGGCCTTGGGCAGGAGACAGCAATTTGCAAGGGTGGGTTCCAGACCCCCTGCCCGGGGGGTGGGCCAGGGCAGGACACGAACTCTCAGATGAGCTACCCAGTGCGTGTCTACATCCAGACAGGGGACCCCGACCGTCTAGTCTGAAGCACTCTCCCAGGAGGCCAGGCGGCCCCTCCAGACCCTCCAGAAGTGTTGACTCTTTCATTGCACTTTGCTTAGTCTGTAAACCATTTGCTGGGGCAGCCTGAGCGCAGAGCTCCAGGCGGGCGCTGCCTCCCAAGTCCTGGCGCAAGGCTACCTCGAGTGTGTGTGGGGCAGCGGCCCCAGAACAGGCAGCGTGTGGGTGCACCAGGGTCTCCTTCCCCACCTCAAAGGGGACCCACATGCTGGAACCTGTTGGAACTCCGTGACTTCCTCCCTGCACACCTGCTCGATGCTGGAATTGGAACAGGTGCAAAGAGAAGCAAGTGTCCATCTGAGACAGAGAAAGGCCCGCTTCCCAGAGGGCTCCGCGTGGTATTTCTGATTTCGGCAAATAAGCAAAACTCGGGGAAGTACAGTCGTCAAATGCTGCAGCTATCTGGAAATGTTTTCAAACCACAATCTCTTTATACCGAAGCAGTTTCTGCTCTTACCTGAAATGGTCAGTCTGAGCTTACTGAGATGAGAGAGGCCCCTGCACGTCACACAGATAGTTGTAATACTTTTGCTGCCTCAAGTTGATGTTTTTTAAATAAAGTACTTTGAAATGCATGAGAATCATGCTGCAATATGATCATTCTACAGCAAATATATATATATATATATTTCAAGATGAAACTAAAGCAGTTTTTAAATAAATTACTTGAATTTTCTGTGTATTTAAAGGAATGACTATGTCTAACGTACTTGACGGGCCTCTGGTCTTGCCCTGTCTCTTGCCGCTGATGGCCCCTGCAGGTTGTGCGTCTTGTGTCCGAGTGGCAGCTGGGTGCCTGTTGACGGGAAGTGCGTGCTCCCCGCGACGGGAACCCAGGATCAGAGAGGACTGACTTCAGGACTTTAAGAACATTTCTGTGTGTGAGAAAACTTGAATGGCCTCGTGAATCTCGTGCTCGGACAGGGAGAGTCCGACTACTGACTGCGCTGCCAGCATTGCTGCGAACCCTCCTCTGGCGGGAGCCCCTCGGCAGGGCGTCCCAACCCTTCTCCTCGGGGTAACGGCACCTCTGGGGTCCTCGCCTCCGCCGGGCATCCTTGGCAGCTCACCCCTATGCAACTTGATTCTCTTCCATGGCTTTAAGATTGTAGGACCCGAGACTTCGCTGAGGTTGCAAGACCGTGGCCCAGCTTCCCGAGTCGCAGCCCCTGTCTTGGCTGGATTATCCTGCCCTCGTCCTGACAGCTGTAACGCAGATGGAGGCCGGAGAGCAGAGGATCCGGAGCAGGGGTTGTGGTGGCCTGACTCAAGATCTGAACGAACCGAACCAAACCAAACCCAGGGGTCCAGCCAGGAGGCCACAGGAGCCAGCTCCCGACAGCTGCATGTGCAGGAGGCTCAGGGCCTGGCTGCGACTTGATTTTTCAGGAAGAAGAGGGCCTTGGTGACCACCGGCTCAACACCGTGTTAACCCTTGAGATCCCAGCCTTAACTTGACCATGGTCTGAAATAATAGCAAAGGACACATTGCGTTCACAGCACAGGCCTGGTTAAAGTCACTGTTAGAATATTAACGCACTGAAACACAATGCAAGCCAGCGAGGCGTGACTGTTCTTCGGTGACAGAAGTAAGCGGCCGTGCACTTTGTAGAATTTTAAAGCTATGAGCCCTTCAGGTGTTTGCAACCAAAGTCTTTCTGACTGTTTAGGTCTGGTCGGTGTGCAGACCCAAAAGGAGGGGTAGATGCCTTGGTTTTAGATCAAGGGTTAGTAGCAGAGTTCGTTTCTGAAGCTGCCTTCCTGGGAGGCAGACGTGAATGACCCTCTGTCTTGGGATGTGAGTCTTGCCTGGATGCAGGGAGGACCAGGTAGCCAGATCCTTTTGCCTCAGCCCCTGCCTTGCAATGAGATTATTTCAAGATTGCACTAACTTGAAACTACTAGTGTCATCACCTTGTGTCTTAAGAAAAGTCAGGAAGGAGGGCTGGCCATTTGCAGCTTGCGTTGGTCCGACTGTGGCTCAGGTGTTTGTGTTCTCCAACATTGTACCTCAGATAGACAGATACGGAGCCTCCCCCAAGCAACCCACCTGTGCCTGCTTCCTTGAACGGAAAGGCGCTCTGTCTGGTGGCCTTGGCCGAGGGGACTGGCAGAGCTGTCCTCGTTCAATAGGCTGGCCAGGCAGCCAGTGTCGAGGACGCAAGGTGGCATTAGCCTTGTAGGGCCCTCGGCCTGGGGGCGCCTCCCAGCACTGAATGGGAGTGTATGGCTTCCCTGGGTCGAGTGCTGCGTGGTACATGCAGGTGTGTTACCAGAATAGGGTGACCTTGGTCTGATTTGTGTTTTTGTTCCCTATAAAAGTCAGCTATGTAAAGAATCTTTTAACGAGGTGCCCCTTAACACACATGGCAGAGTTTCCGTGTGCAGAGGGGAAGGCACAGAGGCCGTGGGTGTCTGGCTGGGCCAGCCCGCTTTTGACCTGTCCCCCCTGTCTGTTGGCAGAATGGCACTGGGACGTTCCCCGGTGGCTGTGGAGCTAGTGGTGGGGTGTTCCAGTTTTCTAGGGCCCCTGGGAGAAGCACTGCGTCCCATCATGTCCCCAGGGGAGGCAGGACAGCCGAGACCTCAGACTGTTAGTGGCTTCTGGCAGTGCTCAGGTGTGTTTCTTAAGGCACCGTGTGCGGAGAAGTAGGTCTGTGACCACCTAGGAGCCCAAAGCTGAACCTCTCTCTAAGCGGCTGCAGGACGCAGCCATTGCGGCAAACAGGAGCGGGCAGAGCCCACGCTGACCAGAGCGCGCTGGCTCTCCTGCCATGGGGACGGCCCCCCGTAGGCCGGGGTGTTTGGGGGACATGTTTGAGAAATACTCTCGGAGATATCACCTGTTCCCTGCTGTGGCTGATGGTCTGTGCAGCAGCCAGCGACAGTGACACCTAGTGTAGACCAAGTTTGTAAAACACCAAATACTGCTGTTCACACTAGACACTAACCAACTCCGGAAAAGATGCACCAAAATGTCACTTTTCCAAGCTTTTTCACCTCTACCTAAGCTTTTGTCCATCCTTAGCCACCAAAACTGTGAGCGTGCAAGTTACTGTCGCTGACGGGTCCTCCTCGGACAGTGTTTCCACGTGACTTCAGAAGCTGCTTCTGAGAGACACCAGCTCCCGGCTTCCGAGCCTGGGCCTCTGCAGGCCTGCGCCGAGGCCCCTGCTTCCGAGAGCTCCTGGGGACTCTGCCCAGCACCCGCCTGGGAGTGGTGTCAGTGCAGGCCGAACATGGCCTTAGCCCACATGGCATGTTGGTGGCCCAACCTAAAGTCATTCTTGTCACCTCATCGTGTGAAGCCGGCCATCACCATCCTGGCTGGAGCCTCCGGCCTTGGCCAGCCCATCCTCGGGGCCTCCTGGAGAGCTGAGCACCCCTCCCTGCGGCTTGGCTTCCCCCACTCTCCCCGGGGCTGCAGGGGTGCTGTGGACTGAGACCAGCTCTAGGTGACAACGACCTGTTTGTTGGAAATGCCTCGTTACCAGAGAAACTTCCCAGGCATCTCGGAACAAAACTATTTAGTTCCATTGTGAACTGGCCACAGGACAACCTTTTTATCAACTTATTAAGTTGGAGCACTGTACTAGCTCTTGCTGATTTTAGCAATGATATAAGTGTGTGTTAAACACATAATGTTAAGTTCTATGAAAGGGATCATAGAGTGATAGCGCACATGACTTCATTTTCTGTGAGGTGGGCAGAGGTGGCCTTGAGTCTGTGTCTGTTTCTGCACAGAGCCCTCGGGTGTTCTGTCTGCCAGGTAAACCGTGTGGCCTGCCATGCTGTCCGCATCGCCTCTGTCCTGCTCATGGTTCGGTCTGTTTAGCTCCCTGGTGTTGTCCGTGCGCAGACGAACCTCCCTGTGTCTGTCCTCTGTACCTCTGCGGTTGACTCAATAAACTTTTCCCTCTAAGGTGACAATGTGGGTGTTTTTGTTGCTTCCCCACAGGCCTGCCCTCTGCCCTCCTGGAGCCGGGTGGGTCCAATGGCGGAGGCAGACCGTGGCCTGGCTGTGGCCAAGGCCTGCAGGTGGGGGTGGGCTCATTCATTCCCCGGGGTCTCCCCCAGCTCGCACACCTGGGGGCCCATCCCTGGACCCCCAGCACAGGCCTTCTCCAGCCCTGGCCCTCCAGCCTGCTCCCTCCACCCTACCTCCTTCACCTGGCTCAGGCGGAGGCTGCCTACCCCTGCCGGAGAATTCCCAACTATCCCTAGAGAGAACATCTGAGGGGACGCAGCCTGGCTGCAGCCAGCCA